AGACGTCAGAAAATCACTTGATTCGTGGATAGCCTCAAAAGACTACCACTTCTGGCGCCAAGGTATTTGAGCTCTGCCAGAAAGGTGGGCAAAAGATGTGCCTAGCAATGGGCAATACTTTGAATGAACCAGATATAGAAGTTTTTTTATAATAAAGTTACATTTTCATCGAAAAAACAGCGAGAACTTAGTTGCGCACCAAATAAATAAAATTTAAAAATAATGCAAAGCATAACTGGTGAGAAACACATAAACAAACTTGGGAAACATAACAAGTGAAAAACACAAAAACAAATATAATGGGATACTTAACTAGTGAAAACTACAAATGCAAATATAACGGGTAAAAAACTCGAACATGAACATAATGGTCGAAAAGCAACGGATTCATCAACAATCATTAATTACTTTTATTTCATTTTAATTACTGTCCCAAAATAGTACTTTACCTTTACCTTTCATGAATCCGAAGATTTTGCCACCTCGTTTAGGAAAATATTTGTAATGTGTGTAAGGGAATTTCCAAATATTTACTTATACTAATTCAATAATTACTGCTAATTGAATAATGCAAATATTTGTTCTGTCATAGGTACATATCAAAATCATTGATAGCTTATTGGTTGGTTGATTGCGTAAAGCAAATAAATACACTATCCATAGGTGTGAAATTGTTATCGAAACGAGAAATTAATACAATTTATAAAATAAATTTGTATCATTAATAACATAATAAATTCATGCAAACAATAATAAGGTATTTACTCCATACGTTTTGGTACGATGTTCATTCATTCAGCAGTTTATACCAATTACAACTCAAAACTTGGGGAGCGCATGGCACCGTGCCTTAAGGCAAATTGCTGGAACTTCCCGTACCGTAATTAAACATTCGGGGAATGAAAATAATCAATAATTGTTTTGAATAATTGCAAATAGATTATTACATACTGTAAACTTATAAGTGCTTTTTAAATTGGACGACGAGCGTATTTTATGAACAACTTATGTGTACGTTTACAAGAGTCCTTTTTTTTAAATTTTGAGAATTTGAAGATTTTGGAAAATATTCGATTTTTTTTAATTATTGAAATATTCTCAAATTTTTGTAAGAAATTTTTTTTTAATTGTTAAAAATTTAGTTTTTTTGAAAATTTTCAAAATTTTAAATTTTCTGTAAATGCATTTTTTGCACACCATCTACTCAAGCAAATTGTTATTTGAATTCATCTAATCGGGTGATCCGTTCTCTCAACTGAAGAACCGTTTTTACACCCTTTGCGCACCATACCTCCGAAACATCAAAATTGCCTTTTGCAAAAACGCCTCGCAATCGAGTACGAACCGAATGATTTCTCAATTTTATAAATCGGTTATTCTATACTATCGAAAAAGTCGGGGACATTTGATTGAACCATATACGTGAATTTTAAAATTAAAAATCTTGGTACGGAACCTAAAAAACATATAGGGTACGCATTATTAAAATCTCTATAAAATATCTGATAATTTGATGTACATATGTCCAATAAACATTTTTAAGACTAGACCTGCCTTCGCCAAAAACTAATCAGCACGTCTCCTTGTCAACAGCAATCGAATGTTTTCGAATAATTGAAATCGGTTGAACCGTGTTCCCGAAATCGTCGACGAAAATTTGTATCCGCACTCACACACACACATACATCCATTTTTTCTAATGTATGCCAAAATGTTCTGAGAGAAACGTAAAGATATATGAACATATCCGTTTTCGTGTTTTTTTGCGATTACTATAACTTACCCTACGGGAAGTTAAAAAGTTTAAATTTTTTGAAAAATTCAAAGTATAAAAAAATTTCGAAACATAAAAAAATTCAAATTTCTCAAAAAAGTCAATTTTTTCAAAAAATTTCAAGTCTCATTTTATTCAAAGTATTACAGAAAATTTTAAAGGTTGTTAAAAAAAATAATTTTTGGTACGGGAAGTTCTAGTAATTTGCTTTAAGCCACGATGCTATGCATCACTAGTTTATTTTATATTTATCATCTAGGAATTATAACTAGAATCATTTCGTATACCGCCATAAATTTCGAATATTAGCCTGTATAAATTGCGTGAATTGGAATTGGAATTGTTCAATTACAAAATAAATTCAAAAAATCTCAAGATATATTTTGGAACTTTTTATGTTAATGATTAATAATATCGTTAATGATTAATTAATATCATATTAATTTTTTTCATTATAGAAATACATTATATCAATTAATATTGTTTTTTAACGTCGATATAAAAATATGCATAATGCAAAATTTTGCATCTTCATATATTTTCAATGATACAGATAATACTGGTTTGATTTAAAGACATTTTTCTGATTTTATTGGGTATCTTTCTGTTTTTTCGACTGCATATAATTTTTAAAATTCTTAATAAATAGTAATAAATCGTTGTAAGTAAATAAAAATGCATTACATTGATAGAAGAATGGAAATAGTTTGCACCTGTCTACGATACCTTCGACCTAATTCCACGCCTGATGTATCACTTTCGTTGGAATTTCAATGTTTCACTTTTATCGGAAAGCGAAAACCGTTGAAGTAATTTTACTTAAAGAATGTCATGGAAATGCTGTGAATGAGAATTTAGTAACACGAATTTCTTTTTATTATTGTCGTAAAATAAATAGATTCATAGAAAGATGTAAATTTGTAAAGTTTGCGAATAAATTTCTATGATAAATGCCACGGATGCCAATAATGAAAGAGATACTGTTAAGGCACGTTCTCATGCGCCGAGCAAAACTTCAAGAAATAATAAGTAGATATTAATTAATTAAGCCCAATCAAAATGTGAGAAAGAGCTTAAAACATGTTCACTAAATTAAGAAAAATCATGTGATAACTAGGTGTAAGTGTCTTTTTCTCTTATGGCAAGTTGCTTGAACTTTCCGATATGTGATAATTGATTTTATCAACAAAAATTAGCTATTTGAATAAAATATTTAACTGCTTATTTCAAATTTTAGGTTTCTGCTTTTACTGAAAACCAATCAATCAAACACATCGACAAAATTCACATTTTGAGTAATCACATCACAAAGGAGACTTTAACACAAATTTTGACTCATCATATTTTTCAAATTTTGAAGATTTTTTTAAATTAAACCACATGTCGCCGGCCCATAATATATAGGTATGTTTAGTATAATCATGATCTCTATTATCATGAAAATATTCATCAAAAACATCCAAAGAAAATTTTTAACATTTGATTACAAAGAAATGGTCCGGCCGATCTTCACCAAAAACTAATCAGCGCAATTCTCCACCAATATCTTGTTGAACAGTTTTTGAATTTTAAAAAATCGATTCAAATACAGAATATTTAAATATTTCTCTGGAATTTTGGAAGGTATCACATTTTGCACTATGATTTGTCTTTTAAATAATTCTTTTCACATTTATGCAGATGACACTAACTAGCGATAACTATTTTTGCTATAATTATAATTATTAAAATATTTTTCTGTTAGTTTTCTGTTTAATGATTATTTTCACAAGATAGATTGCACAATATATACTACTTTATAGGTCTGTATTATTTATTTAATAATCCTGTTGAGACATAACATCAATATTGGTTAGTAATTAAAGGAGGTATCAAAAATTGTTAAATATAATAATAAATGCCTTTACTGTGAATGTTTTATACACTACGTTCTTATATTTAGAAATATATTATAACTACATAAAATATACAGGCCACTTTGGCGTATCTTACAATGATCTCTCAACCCTCCTTCATGCATAATGCTAGTAAGTAAAATAATTATTTTGGCTTTATCATACAATTATACATCTCTAGATCATGTTATCCCAACTGAGAGACTGCATATTTCTTACAATAGTTTTTGAGATATTAAAATAATAGTGATATTTGACGGTTTTACTGTCTGACTAAAGCATAAAAGCTTATGAAGTAAGTAGAGTTGATGACATATAATAGGATAGATGAAGCCATAAAAGCGGATACAATAACATTTTTATTCTTGCTTTGATATCCTAAGTAAAATGATTTACAAGACAAGAGAGCTTATTTGAAAAATATCTTATACCTTTAAAAATAAATAATTCATACATCAACTAGTAGTAATATGACACATTTGTTTATAAAATTATATTACTGAATTGCATGTTTTATGGCTAAAACTTCCGCCACAGGCCAATGTACCATCGGATTGTTCGGTTATTTGCCACTGATATTTTTCTCCTGAATTGAAGGAATTAGCATTTTGGAATAAGTTTCACAAGATGAACTATCGTGCACGCTGACCTACATCTATCTGATTGGCCTGAGGTTATTGAAAATTTATTTATCGCTGATAAATCGCAATAAATTCATTGTATGGTATCAACAGCAATTCACAGATTTGCTTGTTTTTATCACTTTTCACTCTTTAGAAATGGTTTTTGAATTTTATATTGTCAGACATTTCTTCTGTACTGCGCATTCGTCTTGAATTTATGTTCTTAATTAGTAGGATCTTTATAAACGATGTCTCAGAAATCGAATGATTTCTGAGACTGATTTTTACCGTTGATCATTTACCTGCGCCAATGCGTGTTCCTGCGGCACAGCCAAGTTTTCTATACCACGAAATAGTTGGCATATAAAATATGAATCAACTGTCATACTTCCAAACATTTTGGATCTGCCTCTGTCAATTGTTCTTCAAAATTGATAAATTACCTTTCTTTCTTTCAAGAAAATCAAATCGATATGACGAATAATGTCGAACTGTACAGGACTCAGATAACGTATTTTCCATTTGTAGAAAGTTTCTATCACAATGTGAGCTTAGAAACTAACTAGCCCGTGTTTTTGCAATTTGTATATATAACACGCAGTCCAGTTATATAAGACTTCATTTGATACTATATTATCAACAGTACGGCTGTAAATATAGAGTAAAGATGCCCAGCACGAAAAAAAATAATAAATCGGTCCAGCCGTGTACTTAATAACTATTAATATCCAACATTGAAAAAATATTAGCAGCATCTAACAAACTTTAGCCGTATATCTTCTAAACACTGGCGCATATCTTCACGCAACTCACGCATCTTCACTCGTACTTCTTCCCTCATCAAATTGTAGCACATCGCCACCAAACCCATCCCAAGCAGTAAATAAATAAAATTGATTACAAGTTTTGTTTGGCTGCCATCTCGGGATTCCATTATATTAGCACCGGGCACGAAATCACCAATACCTATCTTGCATAGACTCGTCACGCAGAAGTACGTAGAATCCAAGTAGTTCCAGTTTTCCCACTCTGCGAACATGACTGTTCCTGTCAAAACGTAGAAGCTGATCACCCATAAACAGGCAGTAGATGGCACAATAATCTTCCTGGCTGGTAAATCGTCGCCTTCCTCCATACTCGCTTCTGAGTCATGTTCCACGCTGCACTCATGAAGCCAGGTATATAGCCAACGGAACGTCTGTGCAAGTACCTTTCCCATATTCAGAAAGTATAATATGTAGAGAGGAATTCCAAGGCCGGCGTACATGACAGTGATTCCTTTACCCCATGGGGTACGGGGCAGCATATTACCGTATCCGATCATGGTGAAGATTGACAAGCAGAACATTAGTGCAGCAGGAAAAGACCAAGTCTCTTCCGCGGTGCGTCCATCATAGCCGCGCTGAATTGCTGCAGTCAGACCATTCTATGTAAATATAAAGAAAAGATTTTACCAACTATAATACGGAATAATAATAAAAACTATTAATAATTATTTTTAATCTGTTTTTTATGCTAATTTTTAATGAAAGACAGCGCTATTTGTAGTTGACAGGATGGAAACGAAATACATTTTTTCTCTTGTATGTTATGATGACCGAGTACCAATATAAGGTCTTTTGAATAACGATGTTTTTGTAAGGCGTAAAATTTTTGTACTGGTGGTGATTCTTAGCGTGCTAAGTTGGAAACCATCCTGGATCCTGGCAGATTTCAGACCTGCATATCATAGTCGCCCAGGCGTTAAGAATGCAAATACCGAAACACAAACTTGTTCCTGTAATTTCAAATTTTTATACGCTTTCATTTATTCATTGAGAAGTTCAAAAATCAAAAGGCAAGGCGATTTCAGCCTGAACAAGTACTGGCCAGGCAAACCGAAAGGTTCACTTTTATGAGCAAGATGTATATGCATTAAAATAAACTTGGTCCTATAAGGTTAATAATTTATATATGTGTAAAATTCTGAGAAGAAAAGGAAACTGGATCGGATCTCTTTTGCAAAAAGAGTGCCTCCTGCACGATGTCGTCGAGGGTAAAATAAAAGGAACAAAAGGAATGGGAAGAAGAAGAATGCAGATGATTGACGACTTACGCGAGAAGAGAAAATACATGGAACTCAAAGCCGAAGCACAGGATCGAAGCATGGAAGCAGAAGTTCTGAAAGGAAATATATGAAATAAAAAAGGGGAGTGGGAATAGTAGTAATGAGATGAAGGGTAAGGGAATCATTTATTTGTGGTAGCTCTCAAACTATGAACCTGCCTTCGGGTAGACTACCATTTATTATTAAATGTGTTTGTCTAAGCTATTTAAAAAAGTATGTACAATGCCAGGCGATTTTGTTCAGTCTAGGCCAGCCTTTCTCAAAGTGGGCGATATCGCCCCCTGGTAGGCGATATTGATCTCCAGGGGGACGATGAAAGGCCTCGCTAAAAATGTTGGTTGTTGACGTTGAGTTAGGGAGCATTTGTAATTTTATTTACTTTATATTTTAAAGTTCACCAGAATTTGTATCACAACGATTAATTGGTACTTTAAAAGTTTGGTGTTTTCCCATGGTGTTTAAATGATTTTAATGCCATTTTATAGCTTTTTACCAAAAAATTAATATAGCTATTTTCAACTCACTTAAATTAGATGAAAATACTGTAGTTAAATTCAATACTACAGTTGTGTAAAAATCTGATATCATCAAAAAATGATATAGCATATCTCAAAGACCCTTTATGCATTGCTCAACAATATGAATATACAACTTCAAGGGCTTAAATTTAAAAAAAAAAAAAAAAATATCATCGCTACTTTTGTAGTCAAACTGTTATTACATAAGAAAAATATTGGAAGTCGGGAGTTTCATAATTTTGCAAATTTTATCGGTATCGTACACGAAGACTTGCTCGTATACAGCCAACATTTGGAAAATCTTCATGGCAATTTTATTGAAAGATTTCAAGATATTTTAAATTTGGAAATACCAGGCTGGGTATTAGACGCTTTTTCAAATGCAAATGTAGAAACATCAGCCCAGCTAGAAGAAGAGCTTATAGAATTAACAACAAATGAAGAATTAAAAATCAAATTTAAAGATGGTTATCAACAATTTTGGCTACAGAAATCAATTCAGCAGTTAAACCCTGGTCGTTCAAGGAATTTTACTAGCATTTCCATCGTCATATTTGTGTGAACGTGAATTGCGCTGTGACAATGCTACTTACTAAAAGCAGAAATCAGTTGCAAATTACCAAACGCGGTGACTTACGACTGTTTTTGAGTCAAATGGAACCTGATATTGACAAACTTGTAAAAATCTATCAAATTCATCCTTCTCATTAGAGCTTGAAAATAAAATTTGATATACTGTTTCTATTAATTAGATTATAATATATAAATATATGATTAATGTCATAAAGTTGCGTTTTATTTCTCTCACTGGTAAAAATGTCTAATTTAGAATGTAAGGTTGCATCAACTAATATATCACACTATAACTATATTAAAAAAGTAAAAAAAAACAGTTTTCAGAGATTGTATAAAGAATTTGGCTGGGGGGCGATACAAAAATGTTGATCTTCAAAGGCGATGGAAGAAATAAGTTTGAGAAACGCTGGTCTAGGCACTCACCAAC